ATTTTCATTTTAGGCATGTACGTTGGCTACAAGCATCGTGTTCGGCTTAGCATTTTAGCTCGCACTGTCATGCGCTTTTTCAAGCAAGAGCTCGACATGGAGATGCGAAGACAGAATGATGAAAGAATGTTCAGAGAAGGCATTTTGCAGGAAGCCCGTGCGCAAGAAGTCCGAGATCGAAGAAGTGGAAGAGACTTGCTTTTGAGAGCTCAGATGTGGTCTGCTGCAGGTGGGGAATGGCGATATAAAGGACGCACTATCTTTCCAGACAACCCACTTCGACCTGCAGTACCTGACCGGCAACTTGAAGTTGAATTGCAGAATGAGACAAGAACTGAGCCAAGTGAAAGCCAAGAACAAGATGCAGACTATGAGTGGATTGGTGAATGGACGACCGATTGGGATCCTGTGCTCCAACGAATGAGGGAGTATCGAGTCCTAGCAGGATCTGAAGAAGCAGAGAGTGGTGAGGAATACTTCACCGGAAATGAGACGACAGGGCTCTACAGACGATATCGACCAACAAGGTCTGAGAGAGAAGCACCTCAAAGTCGAACAGAGCAAGAGAACCCAATCAATGATGAGAGCCAGAACATGGATGTGGACGAATGATGGAAGAACACACCCAGGAGGAGTTTGGTCAGACTATGACCGACGCGAGCCACCCAATGATGCCAATTGGGACGACCTTGAGACCATCTACAAGTACTTGCCACCAGACGAAGAACGAAGAGGACGAAAAGTCCAAGCAGCTGGAATTTTTCCAGAGAGCTTGTTGAAAGAATTTCTCCAAGCTCGAATCCCCCAGATTCATGGAAGCAATGACCCACGGGCAGCATTCGACCACGTGTTCAAGTGGAATGCTGAGGAGAAGAAACATTTTGCCAATTTCGCCATCATGGTGATGAGTGGGCAATGGGAGTTGAACTGGGATGAACACTTGCGGCGCTACCTTGAAGAAGGCGAGGTATGAAAAGCGCCACTTGAGCGTGAACATCCTACTTGTGTTGCATAGCACTTGACTTACATCCTGGCCGAACAGTGGCCCAAGCCTAAGCGTGAAAACGGGGCGCACTGCGTTTTTCTCCGCGAGCACATTCCCCCCTTTTTCTTTCTTATTGAAACAGGGAAAAACTTGTCGGGAAGAGTGTGGATGGAAGAGGAAGTGTTAAAGGAACTTACTATATTAAAAGTCAGTTGTATCCGCAGCGGACAACCAAAATAAACATACCAAGACAAGCCGATGGATTGACATGGATTAAATAATGTGGACAGGTTTTCTTTCTTGTTTGATTGTCAAACTGAAACTCAGCCCTCAGCTTGCAGACGACTTGGCACAACCATGAAAAGACAGCAACAAAACAAACCAATGGACACTTGTGAAAAATATGGTAGTGTAGTAGTGCATTGAAGTGTGTGACACTGCAACCAATACAAAAAACAGTTTGGATCTGCGTATGGTGCCTCAGGCATAGAGGTTTTTTTTCTGTCCTTGTTTGTGTGACAACTGAACTAAACTAACAAAACAACTAGAAATAAAACACGTTGACCTAGGTTTTGTGCCTAGGTTTTGTACCATTGGTTTCTCTTTAGCTTTGGGTTGTCAGATGCTATTGCATATAACATGTCGTTTCTGTGTTGATGCTACTGGAGATGCTTCATATGCAGACCTATGTCTGAGGCACCAAACATAGCTTATTTGACAGTTTGTTTTTTTGACCAGATGCTGCTGCAGATGAATTGCTTTTTGCTCAGACAGGTGTGTTGCATTTCAAAAAACAACCCCCATGGTGTCCCCTTTGACACATTTTGATTTACCAAAGTCCGCACCCTAGAGGAGTTGGATTTTGTTGTTTGCTCCAGTTTCATTAGCGGATGCCAGTATTGCGATCAATGGCCCGACCTTCATTGTTTGTGTGCATTTCCCGCGCTTTGTGGCCCAGAACATTGGAAAACACAGTATGCAGCTGGGAATGTTAGCCTTACATGTTTCAATGTCTCAACGTTTTTTTTCACAGCGACTTGCAGCCACACATCACGACAAAATTTGCTTGGCAAACACTAGGAATATTGGATCAACATTGCTGGATTGAGCTGTGTGCACCAGTGCTTGGCGTTTGGCTGTGCTCAACGAAGGCCGGAAACCGCTGGTTATATTATCCCAAACAACCAACTCAAAGTCAATGAGATCATTTCGGCCAACAATAGAGAGGTTGGCAGGTTGTTTGTTGTGGTGTATATATATATATATGGTAGCAAACCCTGGCCGGAGGCCAAACAACGTCTTTTCCAACAAACACCATGGGCACACGTGTTGATGGACAAAACCCTGCACCAGCTGAGTACCATAGACCACCTCGTGTCCGTTGATGACATTACTGTATATACATTTCTATGTAGGTTGAATTCCGCATACCATCCATCAGATACTGTAGGCCATGTAGGCCATTTCAAACATGGTTCACCGTTGTTGGCGCTTTAATACATTGACGTAGTCCTGATATTTAGGGTCTTGAATGTAACTGACAGTAGCAGGCCATATGCAGTGCGGTTCCTCAGAGGTCATGTGGAGTGCCAAGAATTGCTCCATTGAGCTGCCAAGTCTTGTGGGGCTTCCACAGAACCATCCAGGTTGTTGGAAACTGCAGATTCTTTGAAGAGTTGTGGTGTTGTTCTGCTGTGCATTGTGGCAGTTTTTGAACTGGTTTGCGTAGTCGCAACGGAAAGGCCCATAGGACTGAAGGGAGAGCGTCATTCATTGCCAGCCAAGATGCTGGTTTCAACCACAAAGTATTTTAAAGGATCAGAATTTGTAGCTTCATCTGGAACTTGGTCATTCCTTTTGCTTCTAGTATTTCACTCGGCAGCTTGTTGGTTGAACAGCCAGAGAAGTACTGAAATGTAGAACTTCAACCAGCTTGCTCTAAGGCGTCAATGTCGCACCGGCCAGGCCGGCAAGGCCTGCATTGAGGATTTGAGCTGATTGAACAATCTCCCAGAGTTGACAACAAACGTTCTTTTCTTTGGCAGAATGGGAGACGTTCTCGTCAACATTTGTTCACTTCTGCCATTGACAGGTGAGGCTTTTGCCATTGCTTTGCGTGTTAACCCTGCCCAGATCCAAGATACCCAAGTGAGAGAGAGAAAACACTGGAGAGAGAAATCATGCTCCTGCCGCCTTCCTGAATGCCCAGGCTTGCGCTTTTTGAGGCCGACAGGGCGCGTGGACTTTTCAGTCTTGTGATCTGGACATTTGCCATAGCTTGTGTTGAATTGGCATCAGGCGCGCCAGCTGTCGTTTTTGAATCGAAACAACAAGAAGAAGGCCGCCCGTGGCTTTGCAGTCTGAAATCGGAACTGCAGCGATTGACAAAACCTGCTGTTGTGAATCATTGAAGAAGCAGGTGACTCAACTTCTATGAGCCCCTCCAACACATTTACAGTCTCAAAGAGGTCAAGTTTTGCCGAGTCCACCCCAATAAAGATGGATTCGACCTTGAAGTACGGGAATTCTCTGGATTGGGCTTTTCCCTTGATTCTTGAAATGGCTGTCAAAATCTGACAGTGACAACCTCATGAAAGCTTTGGCTTTATGCCCTCTCTATCTTTCGGAAGAGGGACTTGCTGTTTTCTCAGAGTTTGGACGAGGTGCTCTTTTCAGCCAGGGGCTATGAGCTGGTCGCCTTTCCCTCCAAGGGAAAGGCCTCAGATTGTTGCGCACCTTGTGCATTGTATGGAAGATCCGATTCCTGCAAGATTTCTTCCTGCTGGCAAGCCGCCTTGAGACTTTGCAATTTCCATGTCTGCAAGCGAAGTCGACTACTGTGACTTTTGGGGGCTACAATGCTGGGGCCACCCATCGCAGGTGCCCATTCCTAGCCTCAAGTTTCGAAAGATCCCGCTGAAGCCTTTGCTTTGACCTCAGTCACAGTACTTGTGCATTTCTGACAAGTAGCTTATTTTTCCAAGGTGCACAACATGGCTCTATCCCTGCTACGAATAGCCACAGCATCAGTATATATATATATGTATATATATATATGTATATATTATATATATGTATATATATATGTATATATTATATATATGTATATATATATGTATATATTTGTTTTACACACTATATTATTATCAGTTGTTTTAAGCAGGAGGTGACAAGAGTGTGCAAAACCCTCGAGGCCCTTTTCAACTAGACAGTACGTGTGCTGAAGTGACCTGTCTTCGTCGGTTGCGGCTTTGTGCTGCACAGGACGCTGGCAGTGTCCGGTTCTGCGGAAGGCAGCTTTGAGAAGAGCGCGCTGACGGGGCAGAGGGCTTGGAGAAGCTTTGGACTTGAGCCATATCGATTGCCTCAACCTGGCTGGAGCCCTTTAAAAAATGCAAGCCTCAGCGGTGTTTGATTTTCACCTCAGGTTTCCGTATTCGACGGACAACGCAGCAGCGCTGCTGTCAGGGCGACCTGGTTCTACGATGTCTCAGATTTCATAGGGACGGACAATCAGATATGTGTACATATGCTTAGCCTCCAACGCAGACTCTTGATCACAAACTGTTATGCAGCAGATCAAAATGCCCTCAGGAATTCGTTGAGTATAGATAGGCTTTTCCACAGAGTGGACATCCGATGCAAAGGATTGAACATTAGAGTCATTAGAGACAGAAAGGTAGAACGGATGGAGCGAACAAAGAAATCAACAGAACCGCAGAGAAAGTTCCTACCAGCAAGGCTCGGCTTGCCTCGGCTGGGTGGGCGCTTGACTTTGGGCATGGATGCCGGGAACCCGGAGAGGTATTTTGTTTCGGACCCACTAGGGGCTCCTGGCATCGCTACTAGGAGCAAAGGACGCTACTAGATGCTACTAGGGGCTCCTGGCCTTACTACTAGGAACAAGAAGCTACTAGGGGCAGAGCTTGTTTTCGGCAGATAGATTTTGTGAGGAAAGGGTGGGACAGCAGGAAGGTCCTGTTGCGCTGCAAAGGCCCCTGCTGTGAATTCCGAGAGCGAGGACAGCAACCATGTGGAAGCTGGCTATGAGCAAAGTCTGCCAGGAGGCAATTTGTGAAACAATGCTTCACTTCTGGGCACATCATATAGCCACATACAGCCGTTGTGCGCTTGTGGCAGTGTTCAGGTGGCTCCGTGGCAGCACGGCTGCGCAGCAATGGCGAGTGGGGTGCATCCTTCCGACATGAGGTGTGCTCCAAGCACAAACTAAAGCACCTACGGACCTACTAGCAAATGTAACCTAATTGCGGATGGCCTCCACCTCCTAGCGATGGCCTCCACCTAATAGCGATAGCCTCCAGTCTTGTGTTCCTTCTCACCAGCTTCTACGCATACAGAAATGGGAATCTGCTTTAGACACTTGTGAGACGTTTCCGCTCTCCAAGATACGTTGCAGGTGGAAGACGTGGGCATCGTCAGTGGCGGGTTGAACTCGCAGTTGGATTGGAATTTGGACCTGAACACGCCACCTAGCAATCATTTGGCTGAAGATTTTTGCAGCTTGTAAGTAGTTGTTTGACCCTTCGCATGTGGCCTGAACGACCCTCCACCCCAAAAAGGGTTCTTCAAAGGTCCTTGGCTTCGCGTTTGCTCCGCGTGCGCAGATGATGTTGGGGGTTCGAACATGCTCAAGATTGCTTCCTGTTTCAGACTGGGATGTTGATATGAGCAGTTTTAAGTATATATGTGTATATATTGGAATTGAGGGTTGTGGTCAGGACTGTGTGCAGGAGGTTGTTGTAGAATGATGGTGTATTCAAACCTGAATGCTTTCTACAGAAAGCGAGAAGATGTTTTGTTGGTTGCAGGGGTTGTCTCTTCTGAGTTGAAGTTGATAGGATTGCAATGGTTGTAAGCTGTGACAGCCAAGGACCTACGCGCCTGCCTTGCGCTCAAAGCGCTGCTGAAACCTTCAATTGAAGTTGAAAGCAACTGCACTCATCCGGTCATGTGAAGTTTAGACTCTAGACTGACTAGCATCCTAAAGACTGTTACTCGTGTTGGTTGATTGCTAAGGTCCGGGGCTTTACACCCTCAGTAGCTTATGGAGCCACCCAGGATGCAACGCGCTGCGTGTTGATGGTGTCCTGTGAAATTGTGAACATTGATATGTCACGAAAGCCAGCCGATAGGCTAGGCTGGAGTTGTCGGTGGTCTGGGCGGGTGGTGACTTAGCTGGCCAGTTTGGGTAGGGCGAACCCCGAGCCTGGTGTGGGAGAGTGAAAAAGGGAGGTGGTCCGAAAAGCAATGAAAATGTATGGTTTTTTGGGGTGTTGTGATGCAAGTGATGTAATTGATGCCGAAGAGTGCATCATTAGCGTCATGAGGGGCTCAGGAGGCTGTCTTTCGACAAGGGGTGGGAGTTCATGTCGAGGACAGGAAAGGGGGGACAACGTGACAGGAAAAGCGGTCGCAAACCTATCAGGAAAGTGAGATGCGCGTCTCTCAACACACTGTTTTCTCGTGGCTAAAAAAAGTGAAAGGGAACACAAGAAGCGATGTCACCCAGGAGAGGGAACAGAATGCAGCTTGCATGCTTTGAGTTGCTTGGGGGGTGCCCCTTTTTATGGTGAAGAGTCTGTTAACTGGATGCACAAGGGTGCCCCATACGGGGTGGGAGTTCATGTGGAGGAAACGGGGGATGACGTGAAAGGTTGGCTGTTTCTTGTGGGTAGGAACGCAAGAGAGAACGTGACCTGTAGAGGACAGGAGAGGGAACGTGACAGGAAAAGAGGTCGTGAATCCACTAGGAAAGTGAGATGTCGTCTCTCAATCATCACCTTCTCGTGGTTATGATGAGTTGAAGGGAAGGCAGGAAAGGGTGTCACTCGTTGAGGACAGAAGAGGGAACAGAATGCAGTCAGCAACTTTTATGGTGAAGAGGGCTGTCAACTGGATGCAAAAGGGCACCCCTCACAGCTATCCAAGGGAGTTGGGCTTTGGATACGGGGTGGGGGTTCATGTGGAGGAAGGAAGGGGGGACGACGTGACAGAAAAAGAGGTTGGGAGCTCACCAGGAAAGCGGTAGACGTTAGACTCAGTAGTCTTTGCTCGATGTTAGGCAAGCGCATGATCTTTGCAGTAAACTGTCATCGATCCACTCTTGGCAGCACGCCGAGTTTATGAGTGCATCTATTAAGACAAGAGAAACAAACAGCAGGCAAGCGCCCCTCCGTTACTTAGGGGTGTCCTTTTTCAGCTTGAAAACGCCCTCGAACCAAAAGAAAGGGGGCACCTCAAGTCAACCTTTTCCCCCCGACTGTCAATGTCATTCAACTATTTTCCTAACGCATGAACACAACTTCTCTATCCTATAACCGCTAATCACCCTTTCGAAACCTTGTGTGAAAAGAGCGTGTCATATCGGCCTTCAATGCGAGATTTTCCACCTGTGCCTTCTATTTCTCCATGCCTGACAGCAGCTCCAGTGCGTTGTCAGATTCACCCCATAACCACATTCATGTCTTCTTTTGGAGGCTGGCTTTCGCCCCCTCCATTCTCAGGTATGTATATATAATACACACCATATATGTTATATATATATATATATGGATGATATGCAAACATGGCCATTCCATTGGCTAACAGCCTTTCGTTTGAGCCTGTAATCTTTGCAAGCGGAGTGTGTTACAAGGCAGAGCAACATGCAGACACCCTGTAAGTCCAGGATGGCATTCATTTACGTGGCCGCGTGGACAAAGACTTCTCGCCCCACTGGCACGGCAGCTATGGCCTGCAGAACATCCCAGGGAAGTGCCCCGAGAGGGAAACCAGAGAAGAACGAAAAAACCTTCGCAGGACAACTGTTTTATCCTGCTAACTAGTTGCGACTATGCAGGTACTCTCCCGTGGATTTTGTGCACGATAGTGTGCTGGCTTGATGTGAGATTTGCTTGTAATTTGATGGATTGGTCTGTGAATTTCACTCGTTGTGGTGACGCTGAGAGACATGAAGACTTACTGTAATGAACTTTACATTTGCCCCCTGTTGGCTTCAAGAACAATCTTGAACTTTTTGCAGCACCGATTTCACTGTTAAATGTGCCAAGGCACCATCAGTTTTACTGCAGGCAGGCATACCATTCAGGCCGATGGTTGTCGCAGTTGAGATGCCAAGCGAATGCTGACAAGTACTTTGGGATTCAGATGCATCATTGCCTTTCCATTGGTACTTGTGATCGAGACCTTTGTCATGCCTACAAGACACACACACACACAGACACAAATGCAAATCAAGGGTAGTGGCTGTTGTTGCATCCCTCCCAGACATACTGTAAAAGCAATACGATACCTATTGTATGGATTTTTGAGGGTCATTTTGTTATCTTATCGTGAGCTGGCATAGGCATCAGCTGCTTATGACAGACAGATGCTGCGACTGGGCTGAAAGTAACAACGGAGAGATTGATGTTGGCACAGCAGGTCATGAAAGCTAGCTAGCAAGAATTGGTTGCGGCAAGCCTCCTACATATCGAACTCAGATCTTCTCGGCACCGTGCCGATTGTTTTTGGGAAAGACGTTGCCCGTGTGCTCTGCTGGCCTCAAACTGGACATGCTCAGGAAGTCACCTTTGACTGGCACATTGGCTTATACCTTGCAGACGAGGTGCAGTTGTTCTGTTCATGAAAGCGGCATAGAGCCCTGGGTTTCTCCTGGCTGAACTCATCACTGTTTTGTTTTTTAGTATTTGATTTTGCCAGACCTGTGACATTGCAAGCGCTGATGGATGGGCAGCAGTATGCCTTGGCAGCGCATAGCGGCCGCAAAAGCATAGCTGCGACCCTCGGGCGACCCAACGAGGAAGGGCAGCGCAGTTCTCAAGTTCAACTACAACTGGGACAGGCCAGGACTGAATTCACCTATATAATTTGCCTTGTGATATATATATATATATTATATACAGATATATGTATACAAGAAACTCAAAAACAAAAAAGGATGTGGATGTGGGGGCCCTGTGAGGGCCTTGCATTCTTTTTTAGATGTTCTTGACAATCTCGACGACTCGTTGAGCCTTGGTCAGCCCATCCCGCCGAAACGGTCCTGAAACGAGCAAGTTTGTTGTTTGCTTTTGCACACCTTCGTTACTAACTATGCCGATGCTTTTTCTTTTTGCAAGACTCCACTGGAAGTCCTTGACTGTTTCTTTGGCCAAATACCACTATTGAAGGTGGCTGCCACTGTGAAGATGGAGGGCTCTTCGAAGCCTCGCCTACGCTTGTCAAAGATCGTTCTGTAAATTTAGTGTGATACATTATCCTTGTTCGTTGGGTAGTTTTTCAATTTAGTTTTTGGAGAGTGTTGCTGTAGGGACACCAGCATCCCGCGCCAGTCCTGCAGCAGTCTTGCGAGAAGTTTCAACACATCTAGCTTGGCTTTCGTGGTAGCGTGAATACACTGCTGTGGGATGTGAGAGCGCGCCAACTAGTCCTGGCCTTTGGAGTTTGCAACAAAAACAGTGGGAAAAGCACATCGAAGTTCAATTCCAATGCAGGTTTCAATCGCTCCACTTTCTAGAGGATACAGAGGTCTCCCCTGTGGCTTTGGTGCTGGACACAACGTTTCACCTTTCAGGCGATTCAGTTTTGCCTGAGTTCTTCTCGCTCCCAATGAAGCCTTTGAAGCTCTTGGGCGATGTGGGCATGGATCCGTACATAGTAATGATCACATCAATCAAGCCGATGGTGCTGGATACTTTTAGCAACATGTGTCTATTTTCACTGTTGTGAAAGATGTATCTCATGAAGATTGACTATTCTTGCTGGATCCATTCCCAAACTCTTATTGGCCACTTGCAATCGTAGATGTTTTGAGCAACCCGTGTCCAGAGCTTCGGTGCCATTGCTTGTAGCTGAAGATGTTAGGGCTGTTAGGGCCAGGGTTTCTCAGACGGCTTTTGGGAAGCTCGCTTCAAGCAACCGGCAGTGACAGCTTTAAACTGGCAATGGCATTTTGACAAGATCCTGGGTTGGCAGCACAGGCCTCATTGCAAGCAGTTATAGACCACGAGATTATCAAGTTTAGCAGGTTTGAACGATCTTTGGAAATAGATAAAGACAGAAAAGACCAAAACATGTAATGTTTCTTTTTTTGGTGATTGCATAGAGGACTCACCAGGTGAAGCGTCGGTCTTGCTGAGAACTCTGTGGGTTGAAGAGGCTACGTTGAAGCGAAAGGCCAGAGAGAATAGCAGTGCACGAGCAGTTGGTTACTTGAAGGAATAAACACGTTGCACGTACAAGCAGAATCAAGAATCAGCAGATAATATGCGATTGAAGTACACTAAGTAATGTCTATAAGAGAAAAGATGATAGGGAACCATGCGAAATGAATATTGGATGGCTGTTTCATAATGTCATGTTGCTTCTTGGTCTTGACATCCAAGCAGGAAGTTTTCTTGGACACATTGACACATGTCACGTTCCATGCAACGTGATGGAGCTCAATCAAAAACACATTCCACGATTTGTCAGCACAGCATGCCAATGCAGTTTCTACTCCACAATACCAGAATTCAAGTGCTGACAACACTCGCGCACGGGATTTGCTTTGCTCCGTCCCACGACTGAAGTCAATGAGTTGCAGCGCTCGTTTTGAACGAAGATGCGACGAACCAAAATAACTTAATTCAACTCAAATCAACAAACAGGATTTGCTTGTGATGCCGGCTGACCGCCGCGCGCTGCGGCAGGTGCGCTGCCAAAGCTTTTCTTTGTAAACTCATAGTCATACCCTTCTAATTCAGTCTCGCAGCATGCACAGTTTAATGGTTTAGACTCCCTTCATCTCCTCTCAAAGTTGCTCTTTAAGCCTTTGCCAGTCCCTAAAGCGCTTGCGTGAGCGCCACATCCTAGTGGGCTTCGATTTCGTTTCAACCCCAGCATTTAGAAAAGTGAACTCTGCACAACCACGGGAATCTTTGTTGCACTCAGGATTGCACTCTCAGCGTGCGACACTTCTACAAGGTTGGGACTTGTGTAGCTTTCAAAGCCTGAATTGTGAGCATTGATTGACTTGTACTTGAACTCGAGGTTTTTGCATGGTGCTATCCGCAGGGTGCGCAAAACCATGCTCATTACCAGGCAGGACCACTTGAGTTCCTATGCTACTTGAGTTTGCTCGCAAAGCTTTGCCCAGTTTGACAGGGACATTCAAGAGATCAGTTTAATTTTCCAGCAAGTAAAGTACTGTAGCCGCTAGCCTCAATCGGAACCTACTTCTTCCCTAGCCTCCATTAGACACAATTGCATGAGACGTCAACCGTCTTGCATAAGCTCATTGGAAGATAAGAAGTCATACTGGATGGAGCTTAACATTAAACATACTGTCAGTGCAGCAATTTTTGGTTGGATGCGGTGTTGACCATTGCATCAAAGCCGAATCACACTGGTTCCTGGTTGAGGGGTTGACTGATGAGGCATTCAGTGATTTTTGCACGGCGCGAGAATTGTCTCCGAAGCTGGAGGTGTTGTCCTTAAAGCAGACTGCTGTCAAACACTGCTGTGAAACCTTGCTGATGGTTTGCACGCTCCTTTTCAGCAGAACTGTAAGGAAGCCACGGGCACACTTGTCATTCACGGGTCATGATTGTGTAATGTACAAATCACCTGCACATTGCTTGACATTTTGCCCTTTGCACTTGCTTTGCTTGCAGATGCTTCCACGCGGCCAGCAGCTTGATATGGACGCGATTCTCAATGAGTTCTGCAGGCTAAATGTTGTATCATGACAATTTGTGCACCCAACTACTTGTCTTAGTACATAGATGACCTCTCCCTTACTTAACTAAATTTAAATAGACACCTACATAATTAAATAGGGAGTGGGGGAGCGGACTAAAATTATCCTGGGAAGGGACCCCAAACAGTGTGTGTGAGGTCTAGAAGTGTAGCAGCAGAAAGTCTAGAGATCTGGACGCGCTGGGGTGCAGAGAGGCGATGGTGGTGATGAAGGTGGAGATCGTGGTGATGGTGGTGGTGGTGATGGTGGTGGATGGGGGCTCAGGCAGCACAAAGTATTGCGCCGCCACAAAATGTGCACTTCAAGGTCCACAAGCTACTGCGCCTGCCACGAAATTTGCACTTCTCGGTCCACTAAGTACCGCACCTGCATCGAAATCTCAATGTCTCAACAAAATACTGCACCTGCCACGAAAGCTGCGCTTCAAGGTCCACAAAGTCCTGCACCTGCTACGACTTCTGAAAACGAACCACATGTAGAAAAGTCACGATTCATTGCACTTGTCACGAAAACAGAGCGTCTCGAAGATCACCACCATGTCCAAAGTGCTGCGCCTGCCACAAAACCTACACGCGTCCAAATAAAGCCGCTCCGATCCCTTGCACCTGTCACGAAAAGTCGACTTTGGACCACCGAAGCACGATTTTTCCCCTCCGTTTGCCACGAAAAGTGACCACCATGTCCGAAAATGCACGCGCAGCACTACAACGAGAGCGCAGTCGCGACAAACACCCACCGCGCCCACGCAGATTTTGCGAGCTTGCGCAGTCGAAATGCACTTCGAGGAATTCGAATGTCCTTTAAATGGCAACGAACTAGCCATCAGACTCATTAGACACCGGCCTTAACCCTTACCGTAAAAACCCCTAGTGTTACCACACTGCTTGGAGGAAAGTTTGTTCGTTTCTTTGGTTCTGCTTACCCGGAAGTCTCCAACCAGGCAGTCAGGGGAAGAAGTGCTCTACGAGCTACTGAGGGAGGTGGCATGGCGGGTGAAGCAAACGAAGTTGAGCGTGACCACTTCTCAGATTCGACAACAAACTGAAGTGGAAAATAGACAAAGGAGAGAGGTGTAGATTTGACAAGTGTCTCAGGCAGCTGGCAGTTTCTGGAGGGAAGACATGTTCGGCACATGAACAGGCAGGGAAAATGGGTCTTGGTTTCCATTTTTGTGTGCAGGTGTTCTTTGGTGGGCCTGAGCGCATCAACCTCATTGCAAGCTGGCTGCATCCTGAGCACCTGGACTGATGTATGTACTCTTGCAAGTTTTTGTCAATCTCTTTTGTTCAAATATGCCAACGCCAGCTTCATGACATAACTTTTCACGATGCGTTTGATTCCTGCTTGCTTTAGAAAAACCATGTGGCTTAACCATTCGCTAGGCTGAAGAGAATGCAAGAAGGTGGGGCAGAGCCGGGCGCTGAGATGTGGCTGAGCGACAAGCTAACCTATCAGATACTGGAGCTACTTGTTGGATTTTCTCGCGACCCTGGGTTTCGGGTTCGGTCTCTCTTGTGCAAACAAGACCGGAGTATTTTTCAGACACGATGCTTGCAGGTTTCGACCCGCTCCCTGGGCATGTTACCCTTAGGTTTGCTATTGTCACTGCTGGCACTTCGACGGCCCTGCTGCGGGTACTTGCCGCCCTGCCGGAGTGGAGGTCTGTTGGTAGAAGAGAGGAAAGGTAGGCTTTGAGACTCTTTCAGACTATTTTGTTTGATGTCCGGTGTCAGGCCATTCTTCGGCAGCGACCGAATTTGGGACACCTCCCAGGGCAGGCATAGCATCCAGCGTGGGTGCTCAACTTCTTCAGTTTTGTATCACAGTTGCCCGCAACATCTTCTTCTTTAATAGGAACAAGGACGCTACTAGGGGCTCCTGGCCTTACTACTAGGAACAAGAAACTACTGGGGCTTGTGGCATCGCTAACTAGGAGCAAGGACCCTTCATGTTGTCGTTCTTATGAGTCCGCAAAGGTGGACTGACAAGCTATTTGAGTTAGCCTGCCGTAAATCTCTATTAAGGTCAGTCGCTGGACAGAAAGTGCTCATGCTGCGCGACATTTGTCCCAAAGCGTGTGGTGCCCTAGAGGCTTCCTTTTCCTGAATTTCAACAGCCTTTGTGACTCTGTGTGCACGGACAGCCTTCATGTTGTGCAATTGGATGCCTTACCTGTTTCTTCAGT